AAGACTTGAGTGAGGAGGCAGGATGTTCTTGGGAGAGAACTCTGAACCAGACGATAGGAAATCTGGGGACTCACCAATATCATTGGGTAAAGCCCTCAACCTCTCCTGTTCCCATTTTCTCCTAACCAAATGAGAATTTATGAGAGCAAATTGAGCCAATAGATGCAAAAGGGCTTTGAAATGTTGGGAATAAAAATTGTATACACATGAGGTAATATACGCATGGAGAGAATTGAGAAGGGGCAGGTGGAAAACATTGTACCGATGCTCAGACCAGCAGCATCAGCTACACGATGATCAGTTACAAGTTCTACGAACTTGTAACACAAAGTCTTAGGCCCTGACCCAGACCTACTGAATGAGAAATTGGGTTGGGGGAGCCCAGCACTTTGTTTTAACCAGGCTCCCAGTTGATTCTTATGCACACTGAAGTTTGAGAAACGCTGGCCTAGCCTTTCTCTCTGATTCTGTAATTTAGGGTTAGGGTATTTCTGTTTTGACAAATGGTTCTCAAAGTGACTTTTGACTCTTTTCCTTGGTTGGTGCCAGCTGCCCTATTGGAGGACAGGAAACATTGTGTCTCCAGACTGCAAGAAAAGGGAAAAAGCCTATGGTGATAGTTATTTTTGACAGCAGCATGAAAACTTGCCCTGGAGAGCTTGTTAAGGAGGGGGCAGGCCTGAAAGAACCTCCCATCTCCCTCCAACAAAGGTAATGATGTTTGCCTCACCTCCTGCCCTGGGGCCTGTTGCTCCTCCAGCCAGTCCTTAAAAGGAGTACTGGGTGCCACGTTTGTTCTTTCTGGTGCCAGGTCTGTACTATTTCACTTCCCTGGCGTCAAGTGGATGCTTAATGAAGGGGCTGTGACGTAAGGCTGGCAGACTCCTTGAGAGAAAGCACCCTGGGTGGGTGCTTCATGCTAACTCCTCTAACTGCCTTTTCTAGACTTCAGTTCTCCCCTCAGCTCAGGTTGTGGTCAGCGTGTCAGGCCTTCCTCACAAGGCCTGATAACCCATGCTCAGAAAGAAACACTGTGGCTGGGTCTGTGGACACTGATAAATGACTCCAGAGGCAGAAGGGAAGTGGTATCTTTAGGTTGTTTTATTCCCTTAGCCCTGCTGATTTAGTCTCCAAAATAAAAAGGTATGACTATATGGGAATTTTTGCCATTTCCTTTGTTCTTTTTGGGGGGCCAATGCCATCTTATCCTGTACTCTTGTCCTTGAGGCCAGGATTGGGGCTGGCATTGACTGGTGGTTAAACCGTCTAAAGGGCCTTGTTAGATAGCTGGGGCCTTTCCCCTGCTTCCAGCAATCCCCAGTGGTCCCTTGACTATAAGGAAATAACTGTCACGGTGTTCCTTTGGGTGACAAAACTGAACTCTGAGAAGTGTGGAGTGAACCCCACAAGGGAGTTTGTTTCCTAGAAAAATATTAAAGAAGCAAAAAACAGTGGTGTGATATCATAAGATCAGTACTGATGTAAATAGAGAAAAGGAACCACTCTGAGCTGTTAAGAGCCAGTATGTGAAGTTAGGGGAAAATGCTTAAGACATCCTTGTCATAGAGCTAGTGGATAGAGCAAAGAACATGCCCTGTGAAAACAGAGTCACTCTGTGAGGCTCTTGACTAGACCACCCAGAGGGATTAAAAGAAGCTGCCTGGAAGGCTGAACTAATGTTACAAAGCATCCCTGTTTCCCTGAGAGTGTACTGAACCCCTGAGAAGATGAGGCTAGAAGAGAAGATAAAAAGAAGACAAAGTAGACAGAGATCACACCAATTAGCTACTTCATTTATTCAACACGTGGGTACTAAGCATCCTTTATAGGCCAGGCTACTGTTAGTAGAATGCTTATTGTATGCCAGGTATGTTCCACATACTCTTGTCTCTAATTTTCTCAACCTTAGTGGTATTACTAGCCCCATTTTGCAGATAAGGAAACTGAGGCTTACGGAGGTTGAAATTGACCAAAGTCAACCAGCTAGCAGATGGCAGACCTTGGATTCAGATTCAACCTGTGATTCCAAGGCCCATGCTTATTCCACTCTACCATGCTCCCTGTCCGAAAAACACTCCCCTGCTGCAGTCCAACTACTGTATTTCCCTTCTGCCAAAGGGAGATGAGCCTGGAACACAGGCCTTCTGCCCTCCTCACTTGGAGGCCCAAAGTGAAACTGTTATCTCTCTGCTGCCTTCTTACTACGCTTGTGTGCCCTCCTCTCTCAGTTCCTCTAGCAATGTGCCTGGGTTTCTGATAGTTTCATCTAAGGAACAACTTCCCACCTTTGAGTTTTGTCTGTTGGTAGGAGAGGAGAAGGGCATTCGAGAGGAAGACTCAGTTAAGCCTTTAAACAATGGAGCCAGGAAGAGATACAGCCAGGCTTTCTTGACCCTGTGGTTTGTGGGCATGGTGTCTAGCTACTCGTCCATCCTATTCCATAGATGTCTCCATCATACAGCAGGAGGGGTGGCCACCATAGCTGCCGCTCCCTTTATCCCAAAGTAGAGCTGCCCTGTATTGAAGAAAGCTCAGTGCTATTTGCCTGGCCCTACAATTTTCCTACAGTGAAGATGCCCTTTGCCTAGTCTCCATTCTCTCCAACCCCTAGTGATTCCCATGACATTTTTATCCCAGAATCCTTCTGGATGTTACCCCAAGGGGAGAAGCCCTGTTTCTCCAGAGCCCATCTGCCCAGCTTTCCCTCCTGAGTTCATCCTGTTGTGAGGGATGAAGAGCTCCACCCGATCCAATTTTTCCAGCCCCATCCCATCATCAAACATGCATCTACCCTTTAAAGGAGGCACAGCTGTACACAGTTGGCAGCACTGGGGGTTTGGGAGCAGTGTGTGAATCTTAGAATTCAAATTCTTTATCAAAATAGCTTTTGGAGACATCCAAATTCAAGGGTTCTGCCTGAGCCTGCTCTACCCCAGCACCATCCTCAGGGAGTCGCAGTTTTGGGGCCTAAGCCACCCTCCAAAGCCATATACATGTGACTGGAAGGCAAGAGGAAAACTTGAGTTGGCATGTCTCATAGAAGCCCTCCTCCCACCTGCACAGGAATGTTTGTAGTCCTTCCACAAATTCCTCAGATCAACCCCACACCAATCTCTTCCATTCTACTTCACCCATCCAATTCCCTACCAGCTTCCTCACTCCCCACTACAGGAAGTTGGTAGCACCCACTTGTTGCCATCTAAATTACCTTCCCCAAGGGCCTCTGCTCACCTATCCCTTACCTGGCATGGACAGCACTTACCCTATCTCCTGCACATCCAGCAACCAGCCCTTAGCACCTAGAGTCTATCTTGGTCCCCCAGTCCTCTCTCTGTATTTTTCCTACTCAGAAAGTATAATCCCTACCAGCAGTTTAGGTGTCACCTGGGAGCCTATTGGAAATGCAAATTCTTAGGCCCACACTGGACCTTCTGAACTACATTATGCATTAATCTGCACATTGAAGCATAAGAAGCCCCTCCCTCCTGCCTTTTGAACAGCTTGATCTACTGAAGAAATAACTGATCCTCAAGTTTCCTATATGGAGAGGCTGGGGCCAAGAGCCAGTAAACCCTGGGAGAGAGGAAACAGCACTGGGACCCTACAGATTAGCCTTCAGTGTGAACAGTGGAGAAACCCTGGGATGATGCAGATACTCCCTGCAGCCCTCAGACAGGAAGTGAGCCCAGGAGCTTCAGCAGAGAGGGACAACCACGGTGGAGCCACAGAAGAGGGGGCCAAACAAGGGTTTGAAAGCAAAGAGCATGCATCACAAGAGAGAGAAGTGCACTAGCCTTTGCCAAGCTGAAGTGTGGTCATTTCCATTTGGTTATGACCACCATCCTGCCCTGGCTCTGTCAGGCACCTCTAGCCAGGATGCGTGTTCAGCTCCCATTGTTACCCTGGATGTGGTGGATGACTGGGCTTCTTCCCTCTCTCTTGCTGGCAAAGTCACCATCGCCCACTGGCTGGATTACTTGTAGTGGGTGCTCAGGAAATGTTTGTTGAATTGAGAGGAAGCCACAGCTTGTGCGGAGTCTGGATAATTCACCAGACGTGGGCCCCAGGGAAGGGGTGGGAATGGAAACTAAGAAGGAGAGACAAGTCCTGTTGTCTTACTTAGCTGGAGTCACTATTTCTTTGTCTCTTGAGTCCCTGTCCTCTCTTGAGTCTGTGCTTTTTGTGGCCATACTTAGGGGAGGTGGTGGGGGGAAGAGGAAGTGGAAGTGGGCAAGAAATGATCCAGGGGGCACTTGATACCTGACCTGCAGAGGTTCCTGGTGGTGAGCTCTTCCCATCCTGTGGTGAGAAGAGGACTGCACTCCACCCCACCCTAGTTCAGAGAGGGGCCTCTCCAAAGACCGTGCTTCCCAGACAAGATCTGGACCCCACTCTTCTATGCTCAAGGCAGTCCCTGCCAGCTGTGTGGCCTTCCTGTCTCTGGGCTTCAGCTCCTCGTCAGGAAAGGCAGAAGGCTAGGCAGGTAATTAGCAAGACTCCCCTGGTTCTATCATTCTGTGACTCTAAGGGGTAAGTCACCTGGGTTCAAGGGAAAGGGCCCAGGCTTTGACCAGCCATGCCAGCCGCTGAGGATGCCTGAACTTGAGGAACCTAAAACTGGCAGCTGGGGTAGAAGCCCAGGCCCTTAGGGATGATAGGGAGCAGGGAGCCAGGTGCCAAGTGTTTCTGAGGCTTGTCTTCTCAGTGTGACAGGGAAGCCTTGTGGTCTGGCAGTAGTAGACCAAGAGAGGGCTGACCAGGAGCCAGCAGGGGAATACAGCAGGGGTCACACCTGCACATGAAGCACACACACGTGCAGGAATGTGCAGGTGAGGTGCGGGGAAGGAAACACCTCCTACCCTCACAACATCACTTTGCCAGAGGGTTTGCCAAGCTGGCACAAGCCTGCGGCAACCAGATGCCAATCACACACAAGACTCTCCATTGAGCTCTTTGCTCCTCCTCTCCTTGTCCTGGCTACTAGCTCCCAGGAGCTATGCTCAGCATCTTCCTGAAGGGCCAGGCCTCCCTGTCTTGCTCCTTACACCTCCTGTGCCTCGTGCCCTTTGGCTGGTTCCTCTGGGCGGCCTGCTTCTCGGTGCCAGGCCCTGCTGGGCCCCAACCTTGCCAGACCTATCTTCTCTGGGCTGTGGGGATCCTGCTTCTCTCTGTGGCTCAGAGCAAGTCTGGACTTCTGGCTTGGCCTGGTGGTCGGTCCATTTCAGAGACTGCTCTGAACCATCTGGCTGGGACACAGGGCTTTCCTGGGCCTCAGGCACGGGACTGAGCACACACGTGCTCTCCCCGGGCCCAGGGCTTCTGGCCCCTCCTAGAGAGAGGTCAAGAGGAGTCAGGTCAGTCTGTTGTGGAGAGCTAGGGGCAGAACCAGCTGCTGAAGCCCCTGACTCCCCCTTCAGCCCTTCTGGGGATGCCTGGGCCGGGCTGGTGGCCAGAGCACTCCCGAGTTTGCCCAGCTCCGCCTCGCTCTGCTTCTGTCCATGTTCCTCATCACTTGGAGTCTTTCTGGTGCTTTGGCTTCCCTGAAACAAGAGGTTGGCCCTGTGGCTGGTGAATTCATGACTCATGTCCCCAGCCCACCCCATCCTGTGCCCAAGTACCTACCTCCTGACTCTCCAGCTCCTCCTTGTCTTCCTTCATATCCCACCTGTAGAAATGCACACATAGCAGGCGTTCCTCCTACCCATTCCCACTTCATGTTAACCCCCCCATAACTGATGGCCATGCCCCATTGGGAGAACCTACAGACCAAAGGTCTAAGGAGGATCTGAGCCTGAATGAGCCTCCAGGATGCTTCCCTCCCAGCCTGACCTTGTTCTCAAAATCCAACCACTTCCTCTGAACACTGCCCACCCTGGTCCCAGGTCCCCAGCTGCTGTTTATGGCCAAGCCTGCAGCACCTTGAGTTCTGAGGGGACTACAGGCATGTCCCTACCTGCAGTGCCTTGAAAAGACGAGCCTGATGTCCCCCTGGGAAGGTAACTGCTGTAATTACTGCCAGCTTCCCTGGGCACCAGCTCACTGCAGCTGCCTCTGCTGATGGCTTCTCCCGGCACCTCATTAACCCACTGCCAGGCAGCAGTTAGCCAGGAGGCAGAGGCCCCCAGGGCCAAAGCGGCCACCTGGACCTGTGCTGGTCCTATCCTCTCAAGGGCCGGAAGATCCAGGAAATCAGGAGTCCCAAATGCCCCCCTTGATTCTGCCCTCTGCCACCTGTTACCTGCGGGCCCTGCCGGTCAGCCTCTCCTTTCCCCTGGCTCTGCTGCCTGTGGCCGGTGCCACCGAGGGTCTGCCATGTTGCCCACCCCGAGTGGTACCACCTGCAAGAGATGGCCCACCAAGTCAAAGAAAGGAGCACCATCACTGCCTGGCTATACCCTCCTCCTCCTCCTTCTCCCCCAACTCACCTTTCCCATCAGGGACCAATGGTGGGGGCTGCAGCTTCCGGTGGCTCCTGGGACCTAAGGCAGGCGAAGAAAATGGGGATAGGGTGGATGACAAAGAACCCAAGGCACTGGTTCCTCTAGGACCAGGAAGCTGTCAGTTCTTCTCTTGGGCCAGTTGTGGGTTTTCTGCCTCCTGAAAAGAGCCCTGACCTGGAGATCTTGAGAGCTGGGGTCCTATGTTGATATTGCCTTTGCCACCCCATACTGGGTAACTCTGACAAGCAGCCTCACCTCTCTGTCCCCAGCCTCCGCTTAGTAGAAAATAAGGGGGCTAGCAACGTACAGAGCTCTGTTCTGGCAGTGGGGTCAGGGGCAGGGAAAGTGGGACTCCCACCCACGTGGGACCAACACCCTTGAAGGACTCCATGGCAGACTTCCATGTGAGCCTCCTTCAGTGACTTTCTGGAGTCAGAACCTGAGACGAGCTGTGGGTGTGGTGGATGGGAGAGGAGATCACAGTGTCCTCCTATGATAGTGAAGGAGAAGAAAGAAGATGTTCTTGGATAATCCCTTCCAGCTCTGAAAATAACTGGGAAACCAAGAGGCAGACAAAGAGGTGGAGTGACAAAGGTCAAGAAGTGGGAAGAGGTGGGTGTTGACTCACCCCTTTTGCCCCCCCTGGCCAAGCCTTCTTCCCTGGGGTGGTTAGAGTCCTTTGGCCTGTGTAGACATGGAGAGGGAGTCAGGCTGCTGGGTGCCAGGGAAGACAGGCTGCAGCAGGACCCACACCAACACTGCACCCCACCCACCCCAGCCCCAGAACAGAAAGCAGCAGGGAGATGGTGGCCCAAGAAGAGACGGAGACCCAGTGCCCACAGAGACCCCTGTGCCTAGGGCCTGGTCAGAGGGCTAAAGCAGAGCCACACCACCCTGGGGAGGAGGGTCCCACCAGCCCTCAAGCAGTGCCCACAATTAGCCCTACCCTCAGGTCCCCCCTGTGTCAGCCCAGCAAGCTGCCTGGCCCTGCCACCCACGTGGGCTTGGCCTTGTCCAGGTCCCATGGACGGCGCCAGTCACCCTGTGCATCTCTGTGCCGGGCGAGGCGGGCCAGGTCGATCTGCTCCCGCTCCTGCTTCCACTGGTCATAGTCCCAGCCCATCTCTGGGACCCCCCCTGCTGGCCACCGGGGAGCTGGTCCTGGGACCCAGCCTGGACTCCGGAGCTCCCGGCAACCCTGTGAGGAAAAGGCATTCAGTACCATGAGGTAGAAGCAGAAAGAGCACTGGGCTTGGAATGGAGACCTAGAGCTGCTATCAACCCCTTCCCCTCTCAGGTCTTCAACTGCCTCACCTAAAATTAGGCCTGTTCTGTCTGTAACATGCTGTGTTTGCATAGACAGAGTTTCCACCCACTTATTAGCTGTGTGTTTTTCCACAAGTTCCTTAACCTCTCTGTGTGTCATTTCCATATCTGTAAAACTGAGATAATAATAGAACCTATCTCATAAGGTTGTTATGAGGATGGGAGGGGCACTCAAAGGCTGTGAACAAGAGCAAGGACTAGGGGTTGCTGCCACCTAGAGGTCACAGCTGGCACATGGCCAGTCCCCTCATATACATGGCCCACCCCCCTCCGCCCACACACACACACAGTGGTCCCAGAAAGGAACAGGGTTTCAGATCCAGCTAGGCTAGGTAGGCTAGGAGGCTAGACTATATCTCTGGCTTACCTTGTCTCTTATGGCGGCCTCTGCAAGGCCACCGAAAGGGGAGACTGGCCAGAGAAAGGAAGGTTGGGAATTCTTGAATTCTTGGAAGTGCTGCCCGGGGCCATGGCCCCGCAGGTGGAGACATATCTGACACAGCATGTCTGCCACGCCCAAGTGAGGCCCCCACTTTCATGTCCCTGACCTTTCTTGAAGATATACCTTCTGTACAGAATCCGAGCTGGCAGTGATGTACGTGTGGGGGCTCCGTCCAGAGCCCCCTCCAGGTGACCCATCGGCCCCTTGGTTTCTTGCTCTGGTGGGCTTTTCACTTACAATCCTCTTGGCCTGGGGGAGAAGAGAGAGCCAGGGAAGAAGAGTCTGCTCCCGCTGGTGGCCGGATCCACCCCCTCAGCCTGCTCACCTCAGCTTTGTTTTCCATGGTCACAGCCAGCTCCACCCGCTCCCCCAAGCAGAAAGCAGCAGTGTGGTCCCCGTCCTCATCCTCAAGCATCTCACTGGCTGCACTGGGCCCGAGGCTGCTCCTGGACCAGTTCCTGCTGACCACTCGCTTCTCCTGCAGGCCACATGGCAGAGCTTGGCAGGAGCTGAGGGCTGGGTCCTTTGGGTGCTCCCCAGACCCAGGTTCCAGCAGTGGCCCTCCCTAGAATGCCCTCCGAGAAGCTAACTCCTCTCCCACTCTCATGTGCCAATGACATTAGGTTATCCAGGGCCCAGGGACACAAGGGCCCAAGATACCACAGTGGCCCGTCATCTCTGGAGTGGGAAATCCAGGGCACTAAGACAATGTGGCTTTGTCTCTCAGACACTGTTCTTGGCATTTAGCTGTCTCTCACTTCCTACAGGGTTTCCAGCCCCTGGGCTTTTGGGTTTAGGAGCAGCCTGTGCTTTGGGGCATTGGTGCAGGGCTATGGGGCTAGAAAAGGGATGAGAAAGTTTCTATTTGGTGGCCTTTCAGCTCTAGCCCTTTTGGGTGGTGGGAAGCAGTGGTCTGGGGTGTGGGAACTGGAGGGTACACCTCAGAACTAGGGGTGGGAGGAGAAGAAGAACTGGGGGAGTCTTCTGATAAGGGCTGGGCCACCACCTCTTGCCACTCTACCCATCTCCCTGGGGTGAGGCTTACGCCAGGAACCTGGCTGATGGTAACGGTGAGGCTGTCAGGTTGGAGGGGCTGCGGCATGCTCACAGCCATGCACCCCTGCTCCGCCTGCCGCCGATCTTCCTGGATCTCCTGTGGGAGGGGCCGGGGTCAGCACAGGCCACGGCCCCCCAGATGCACAGAGACACAGACACCGAAAGGCCTACATGGAAGGACACCAGTGGGACACCAGGGGGCAGAGGCACCACATCACAGAATCCCCAGACCTTTTACTGAGCCACTGGGAGGGACCATGCCCACCAATCCCTGGCCCCAGGCCCAGAAACATGTTCCAGAGCCCGACGCAGGCTTGGATAGTAGGCGAGCTCACCATGCGAAGGTCTTCGGGTCAGCAGGGGAGTGGCAGCCAAGTAAGTCCTCCTGGCCCAGCTGCAGCCCACTCACCTGATACCTGCGAAGTAAGGCCTGGTTCTTCTTTCGCAGGGCTATGATCCTCCGGTCCAGCTCAGCATCCTTCTCCTCCTGCCTGCTCACTGGGGACTCAGCCCCATGAGACCCCTGAGAGGGTGAGGATGCAAGCTCCTGGCTGCTGGACCCACCCCTTCCCAGTTCTCCCAATTTCACATTCACACCCCTGACTGTATTCTCAACACCCAAGGAGCAGACCCCAGACCCAGAACTAGGTCAGACAGGAAGGAAGAGGATTACTTGGAGAGTGACACATGCAAGGCTCCAAGCCCCCTCCCAACTAGACCTATCTGGCATCTTTCTGCTCTTAGGGGCTCAGGTCAGGGGCCTCCTCTTACCAGGCCTGACGCTCCCGGCAGCGGGCTGCCCCTCCCCCCGGCTCTCCAAGGAGCTCTACTGCCAAGCGGAGGCTGGAATGGGAGTTATAAATGGCTCTGGCAGCAGAACCTGCCGTGACTGGGAAGCTGCCAGAGGATTCAGGAGGTCGAGGGGGGAGCTGCTTGGCTCCCAGGCCCAGAACTACAGAAAAAAGAGAGGTCCCGACTCCATTCTGAGCTACCAGGACCTGAACCCCACTTCCCAGGCCTGTGCCCAGCCTAGGCAAGCACCACTCCCATGAGCCCAGCCTCTCCTGGCCGTGAGCTACTGACAGTCCCAGCAAGTCTCCCTCGTTTGTTTGGCAAGGCCCAGCCAGGGAGGTACCCTGAGTAGGCCAGGCCTCTGGAGCGAGATTCCTGGGTCCCTCCCCCACCTGGCTGCAGGGTTTCTATTGTGACCAATGCCCCTGCCCAGCCCCCCACCCGCCTAGGCACAGCCCTCTTCCTCCCAGGCCCAGCTGTCCCCAGCTGCCCTGAGAATGTGACTGCCTGCTATCCCAGCCACTCCCACCCCCAGCGCCAGGAAGCCCCCCGCCAAAGGCAAGGTGCCACTCACAGCCAAGTGCATGGCAACAACGGGCACCACCGAGAGAATTCCAGAGCAGCCCCAGGGGAGCCAGAGCGGGAGGGAAGCAGAGCCGCTGGGAGCCGAGCCGGGCCTCTGCCGGCCTCTCCCTGCCGGCTTCACTGCTCAGCACACGAGATCATGTTGTGATTACAAAAGACTCCTCTGGGCTCCCAGCCAGGAACGCAGCGGTCGCCGCCCCCACCCATCCACTCTGGGAGGGCGAGGACCAGGACATTGGCAGCCAGTTGGCCCTGCCCAGCACCTTTCCCTGCCCTGCCCCAGCGTCCCCAGACTGCAGAGCTTCTCCTTGGAGGCCGAGCTCACAAAGCAGTGCCTAGCTGCCCAGGCCCTGCTGTCACCTGAGGCTCTGTGCCCCAGCAGAACCTCAGCCTGGGCAGCCCGCAGACAGACGGGCAGCCAGTGTAGGGCTGTGTCCCTCCCATCTAGTAGAGAATGGCTTACAGGATACAGTCCAGTCCAGCCAGCCCTGTGGTCTGAGGGCCCCCCACCCCAAAAGTATCTCTGTTCTACTATTCAGTTTAAGTAATTCGAAGGGATTAAGAAATTCACCCCTCTAGGTCACTGAACAATACCACATACCTAAAATTATACCAATAGTCATTCATTCCTTTAGGTTGAACACTCTCTGTTTTTTAAAATACAGCTCCTCCTGGGAGGCTCAGCTGTTTGGGTTTCTAGCTCTTTGGTATAGGAAGCTGGGCCTTCCTCTAGGGACCTTGATGTGACAACACCAAGTGGCCAATAGCCTTGCCCCCTCAGTCTCTTGAACTCTAGGCCCTTCCTGGCTCTTCTTTCCAGTGCTGGTCCTTTCAGTCATTATTAACTTGGCCCACCTGCTGTCCTGCCCTGGGCACCCTACTCTCTCTCTCTCTCTCTCTCTCTGACCCCAAGAAAGGAAGCAGCGTTCCCTGGAAAGCCCCTCTCCAAATCTGCCCCATGCAACTGAGGCTGGTCTCCCTGCCCAGAGAGGCAGCTCTCCAAGCAGCTCCCCCTAGAGCCTCTGGGACCTACAGCTTGAGAGTTCTGCAAGGAGGAGGTTCTTTTTCAGTAGTTACAGGGACCCAACTCTCAGGCCATGAAGGGAGGGCCATGAGGTGACTGGGCCTCAGTTTCCCTAACCCCATGCCACAACTTGTCTCCTTCTATCTCCAGGGGAGAAAGTCCAGCTGCCTTCTCTCTCCTTCCCAGATCAGCCCAGGCAGCTGGAGATCCAGCCTGGAATTGCTCCCCTGGAACTGCCCCTTCCGCCCCACCCTCCCCATCACAGCTAGCCCCTTTCCTGTCCAGCCCTTCACACAGCACCTCTGACCCCACACCCAATCTCCACTGCCCTAGAGTTCCCATCCTGCTTGGAAATGCCACTGCACTCTCATCTTCCTGCCGGATATTCCCACTGAGTCAGACTTGTCTACTTTTCCAGTGACAGTGACGCACCAGACTCTTCACCCTGGGCCTCCTCTCTCTCACACACACATTCACACACACGCACATGTACTCCCTCATCTTCCCATCCTCTCCTACCCCACACAGGCTGCTGAGTTGCAGTCCAGCCTCAGAAGGGCAGAGGCAAGGCCCTGGGTGGGTAGTGGTCAAGCTTCCCATCACCTATCCCACACTGTGTTGTTGGGCTGGGAGACCCAAAGAACACTGGCCTGGAAGGGGGAGATTAGATGTGGCCTAATGTTCCCCACCTTCTTAGAACCCCAGACCCAATCTGGAGAAAAGGAGTGTGGACAGAGGAGACCACAGAGGCAAGGCAGGGTCTACCACCACTGGCCTCGGTTCCCAACCAGGATGGGGGTGGGAGAACGGCATGGAGAACAGGTGAAACAGGAAACACAGTGGAAATCCAGCCAACCCGTAGGGAGGGAGTGTGACCCAACTCTTCTGGAAGGGCCTTCAGGGAAGGACTCCCCTAATCTGGAGGCAAAGGTCTCCCAGCCCAATAGGCTGGAGAGCCATGTGCCCAGAACACCCCAATAGCCAGGACAGGGACTTACAGTTGCTAGCTGTGCCCTGACCCAGTGTTACTCACACAATGTGTTGCACCCTTGAGCACCCGCACATTCTCCCAGTCTTTCCAGAATCTGTGGTTTGCCTGGCTGCTTCCCCACTGGATGGAAGCTCCTTCAAGGTAGGAACGGTATGCCAAGTGCCTCTGAATCCCCAGTGTCTGGCACAGTGCCCTTGCATATTACAGACCCTCCATGGGCACTTGCAGAATGAATACATGAGTGGGATGGATAGCCTATGTTATCCTGTGCATTAACTGCAGTATCCTGTGCATAATCTGTGATTCCCTTTATCTCCAGACAGAATGCATGCAGTCCTAAGGGAGGCAGGGAACGGTGAAGGACCCTAGAGTACTACTACTCCTCCCTGGGCAGAAGTCCCTAGGTGGCAGGGGGAGGCAGGCGGAGGCAGGGGGAGGCAGGAGGATGACAGTCACGGTGTTCCCGTGAGATCGCGGCGCGATTACTCCTTGCCACCACAAGGGGGCAGCCAAGTTACGAACACCCGGCTTTGGGGGCGCGTAGGAGCGCGGTGATTTCCCCTTTCCCTCGCCACTTCTCAGCTCCTCTCTGCCAAGTCTCCCGAAGCCCCTCTTCCCAACTGCATCAGTCTAGCGAAGCACCCAGTTGTAGAAGCTTTGTTTTATTGATGAGGAAACTGAGGCCCGGAGAGGCAGAGCCATCTGCCCAAGACCGCACAGACAGTTTGCAGCAGGTGAGACTGGAAGTCAGCTGACTCCCGGTCCAATGCTCCTCTCACCCGCTGCTGCCCCGCCAACGCTGTTTGGGCTGATGGTTCATTCTGTGCCCTCCTTCTTCGTGTCCAGGGATGGGCCGAGTGTCTCACCACCTCAGGGCACCGGCCCAGGTCACGTCTCTTTCGTGCCTGGTCCCCCATCCTCCTTGCCGGCTGCCTGCAATCTCAGAGGATAGCTCCACTCCTGGGGTGAACCATATTTGTGGTCCATTGTACACAGACCCAGAACCAACTCTGAGGACAAGGTGGCAGTGAGTCCTTCACCCTAGGGAGAGAGGTCCTTCCCTCTGGACCACCACAGAGAGCACAGACCTGGAGGCCCCACCGTTGAGATTGTATTTATATTAATAAAATAGAAACCCTCTGGCCATCAACTTCTCCTCAATCTCTCTGTGGGATAAGGTAGGGCTGGATGGTGGATCCCAAATGAACTTCACTAGCTATGTGGCTTTAGGTCAAACCCTTTATCCTTGATCTTCATTTATAAAATGAGGGTGTACCTACATTACTAGGTCTTTGGGGAGATGAAATGAGATAGCACAGGTTAGGTCACAGAGTGAGGCTCTAAATAGTTTTGTTCTTTCTTCAGGTAACTGTGTTAGCCACCATCCAAGTGGCCAGATACTATCTCCATAGTGGCCTTTAAAAGGCCCCAAATGTTGTCTCCCACTACCCCAATGGGGCTGGAACACACTTTTTATGGGGACCATTTGTGACCTGGTATGGGGGATCCTGAGGCAGCCCCTCACCATCCTCTCTGTACCTCCCTTCATGGGGTTCTCTGCCAGCAAATGCAGGCTCCCTGCTGACTCCCCTCCTCCATGCCCTGTTCCCTCTGAAGAGCCTGGCTGCCATCTGGCCCCAATTTGCCTTGGTGATCCTGGAGACAGTCACTATGGCCCATTCAGCACTGGATACCACCAGGCCCAGCCCCAGACTCACATCCCAGTGCTCAGGAACCATCCTCCTCAGCTAGGGCTGAGCCATCAGAGGCCACTGGCTCTACTTACCAGCTCCGGGTGGGTGGGTGAGTGTTGAGGAAGAGGATGTGCAAGGCTGCATTGCATGACAGCCCAGTTACTAGGCAGGTGACCCTCAAAATTGGAAGGGGCAAGGAAACAGCAAGAGATTAGATTAAAGCATGACATTCCCTTCCTACAAACCCACTGCCCCTCACCTTCCCATGGCCATTCCTGTCTTAAGAAACTATTGTTCTGAGTCCTACTGACTAGAGGTCTTTGTGCAGCCCTCTCAGGCCAGGCCTCTGGATGTTCCCTACAGTTGTCTGGGGTGGGAAGGACCTAGTGTGCAGGAAGTAGGACTGGAGGGACCAGCCCTGGGTAGGCTCCAGATACAAGGGACAAAGTCTGGGCCACACCCCTCTCAAGAACACACATGCCGGAGCCGGGCAGGACCCAGGTCCAACCTTCTGAGGCGTCAGGAGGCAGAACGAGGACCGGTCTGGGGACTCACTCCTCCACCCTGCTCTCCAGGGCACACCCAGGGCTGGAGCATCACGAGTTCTCCAACGTTGGATGGAGCTGAGCCCTTGTTCAGGGCTCTGTTTCCCATGGTGGGAACACAGAGAACTCAGTGTTTTCCCAGAAACCTTTGCCTTGATCTCTAGTCCAGAGCTGTCCACAACCAGAGGCAGAAGGTGACCCCATCAGGGCTTGCCCACAGCATCATTAGCAGGGCACCTAAGGTATGCATCATCTGGCCTAGGCAATGAGAGGACCTAGGGGTGAGGCCCCAGGCTGCACCTCAGAGACACTTGCTAGTACCAGGTAGCAGTAGCCTGTCAGAGAAGTCTAGGCTCAGGCCAAGAGGAGTTTTCCAAAAGAACATGAGTTCAAGGGCATGAGCAAGACTTGGACAAGGGAACAGTAGTGAGAGAACATTGCATGGATGCTGGAGAGCAGCATGGCAAGAGGCGGGGAAGTGGTGGTGGCTTTGCCAGTAAGATGGTAGAGACCAGATTGGGAAAGTCACTGAGGTACACACTGAGGGAGTAAACCTCACCCTAAAGTCCAGAGGGGTTCACTGAGGGCTTTAGAGCAGGGGTCTGATGATGCCACTCAGTGGGTTAGGGAGCTGAGGCTGGCATGGTTTGTCTCCGGGGAGGAAGAGGGTGCTGTTAAGAGGCTGTGTCCAGGTGTAAGAGAAAGTAGTCTGGGCCAGGCAGGGAAGTGGGCAGTAAAGAGAAGGAGTGACCAGAGGGACTTTGGGAGCCTCAGAGCATTAGCATAGTTGGGGGGTAGACACAGTGGGTAGGGGGGAGCCAAGACAGCATTAGGTCTGAAGCCTGGTGGCCCTCACAGATGAGAGGAGCAGAACTGTTTCCCTGTAT